CCCCCCTTTTTTGTCCCCCAACTTGAGACGTATGAAGGCTTTTGGTCTCCCTGAGAGTGGCTAGAGGCAGCCAGGGCTTAACTGTACACTGACTTGAGACCAGGTGAATGAAAGTATACACTTTAAAAAAGGGGGGGGGAACCATTTTGAAGAACATAGTTAAATCTTCTTTTGCCCAAAAGCCATTTCTAGCTGCTTGTCTCTCTTCCCCATCACTAGTACAGCATATGAACTACATGACTTTGAACTCAATCATACACCATTGCTTATTGGTCACAGTTTCAAAGACCTTGATATAAAATCAAGTCTGCAAACTGAGGCCAGATATTGTATTTTATCATTCAAACGTTTCCCAGGACTATTCTGAGTTTGAAATCAATGCACGATAGATTATTAATTAAGAAGTCAAGGGTTGATTAGGATGTTTATTCCACAGCCTCAATGAAAACTGGGTTTCATTAGTGTTTCCTACACACAAGCGTATTTCTTGTTTAAGGAAAGCTTTCTTTTTTTTTTTTTTTTTTTTTTTGAGACAGAGTCTCACTCTGTCACCAGGCTGGAGTGCAGTGGTGAGATCTCGGTGCCCTGCAACCTCCACCTCCTGGATTCAAACGATTCTCCTGCCTCAGCCTCCAAAGTAGCTGGGACTACAGACACGCACCACCACACCCAGCTAATTTCTGTATTTTTAGTAGAGACGGGGTTTCATCATGTTAGCCAGAATGGTCTCAATCTCTTGACCTCGTGATCCACCCGCCTTGGCCTCCCAAAGTGCTGGGATTACAGGCATGAGCCACCGCACCTAGACAGGAACCTTTTTACTGATATCACCCAATAAAGGAAAGGTAAAATCTTTTGTTCAAGCTACATGGTTTGGGAAAGGGGGGAAAAGAACTTGTGGGCAAAACTTTGATACCCACAAGACAGGTAATGCTGTAATAACTTTATATGCTTAGTTTGGCTATCAGTTCAGTTCAGTTACATCACCCAACTCTGATATCTTAACTATGGGTAAGAATATTCCCTGTGTCACATTATAATGCTGAGCAAATACATAAACTCACTAAGCTGTCACTGGCATTCATTTGAGAAGTGCTTAATAAACATTGGGTACTTGGCACAATACACAATGGGGATAGACAGTCCATGGAGACAGTGACCCTGTGACTAAGATAAAATCCTACAAGGAAAGAGTTATGTATGTATGCACGAATTTTGTGTATAATATAAGCTCAATTGTCTAAGACAGACTGCAAGGGCAATGGTAATTCAGAAAGCCTGAATGTGATCCTGGCGGATGACAGTGTTTTCTGTGAAACTGTCTTTGAAATTTACAGCCATCTGGGTTTATAGTCTTCTTACCTATATCCCAGAATCTGGAACATCCCATAGGCACCTCTGGGATGATGAAAGGGCTCATGCATTGAAGTCAGACAACCCTGAGTTTGAATCCTGGCTCTCACATATAGTTTTGTGACCTTGGGCACATCATTAATATTTAATCCCTCTGAGGTTTGCTTCACTTTTTTGTAAAGCTCAGATAATACAAATGCTACAAAGTTGGCTGTACGTGAGATGACTGTATGGGAAGTGCATAAAATAGTGAAATACACTGTCGAATCCTCAAGTTGTCACTCCCATTTAATATCTAATAAAAAATGCTAGAAGTGGACAGGTGTTGCTTACATGAAGCTATGTAAAACATAAGTAGGGTAAGGAGGTAGTTTCAGGACAAAGGATATTCAGAGTCCATTTTTTCTTCTCCAAATCATTTAGTTTACCATAACTTTTGGGTATAATGGCAGATCAGATTTATCACTCACTCTATCATACTTATTTTAGTATTAAACCTATCTCTCATATCAATGATTTAAGAGATGAGGTCTTGGCTGGGAGTGGTGACTCATGCCTGTAATCCCAGCATTTTGGGAGGCCAAGGTGGGCAGGTCACTTGGGGTCAGGAGTTTGAGACCAGCCTGGCAAAATGTGGTAAAACCTCATCACTACTAAAAATACAAAAATTAGCCGGACATGGTGACAGATGCCTATAATCTCAGCTACTCGGGAGGCTAAGCCAGGAGAATCACTCAAACCCAGGAGGCAGAGGTTGCAGTGAGCCGAGATCACATTGCCATCACACTCCAGCCTGGGCAATAAGAGCGAGACTTCATCTCAAAGTCTCACTCTGCTATACAGGCTGGAGTGAGAATGCAGTGGCATGACACGTTAGTAACTTTTTTTTTTTTTTTTTTTTTTTTTAAGGAATTTCGCTCTGTCACCAGGCTGGAGTCCAGTGGCATGATCTCAGCTCACTGCAACCTCTGCCTCCTGGGTTCAAGTGATTCTCCTGCTTCAGCCTCCCGAGCAGCTGGGACTACAGGTGTGCGCCACCACCCCCAGCTAATTTTTGTATTTTTAGTAGTGATGGGGTTTCACCATGTTGGCCAGGATGGTCTCCATCTCTTGACCTTGAGATCCGCCAGCCTCGGCCTCCCAAAGTGCTGGGATTACAGGCATGAGCCACCGCACCTGGCCTAGTAACTTTTTAAAAGTCATTTTTAAACACACTTCAAGTTCAGAATTGGCTTCCAGAGGTCCTTCACTTGTGCCGAAAACCATTCACCAAAAGCCACCTGGTAAAGAGAATGCTATAAAGTCAAAGAACATTCCATCAGTAATGCTGCATTACTTACAGCTCAATTCAAAGTAACTTTTAAAGGCTGGCTTCCTGGAAGGCTGGTCCTTTATCTCACTTTAGTTTAACAAGGTAGGACAGCTAACTGGTCACCTGCAAAGGCCTCCATGCTCCTTTAAGGATCTGTCTAAATGGGTCTGCATGTATCCTGGGGATGACGACACTGGTTTCTTACAACAGTGCTTCAAGATTGTATGCATCTCTCATTAAGACAGATTCTGATTCAAGAGATCTGGGGGCAGAGACCTGGGATTCTAACAAGCTCCCAGATCATGCTGTGCAGCTGGTTTCCAGATGATACTTGACGTAGCAAGGGTCTACAGGGTTAGGACAATCAAGTCACAAACTAAGGAAAACAGTATCCTCTATTCTTGGGGCTCAAGATGAGATTATAGAAACAGGATAAGACCAATGGAATACAGAGAATGCTTGTTTGTTTTGAGACAGCTTGACTTCCATAGAGAAAATAGATCTGAAAGCAAAATCTAAGATCTTTTCATATACACAAGGATCAACACCACTTTCAAGCTGAAAGCATCCTTTCCCATTCCTTTAAACAAAGTTCTTTCTTCTTCTCCTTGATATAAAACATCATTTTTGCTAGATCTCATAGCAGTTTGAGTAGCTGTTAGTGAAAACATACGCCAAGGTGCTGTTAGTGTCTCCTACTGATATAAAAGAAACACCACACTGCTTTAAAAAGTCTGGAAAAGATGACAGTCATGGCATTAACAAACAGAATAATCGGGCACCAAATGGTTTCTGAAAATCTAACATGCATTCTGTAACTGTCACTGATTTATGTGAAGTCTGACCTTCAGGGACTAAACGAATGAGCAAACCATCTCACTGTCATTTCCCATGTTAAATTCGAGGCTTTATACCGTGCTGATAGGAAAACAATGTGTCCTAAGAAACACTGTGGTCGTGTGGATGAAAGACAGGGCTGGAACCAGGCAAGCAATCCTGCTGCCAGCACCACCAGGTCACTTCAGGAGCTCGGTGACCTTGCTCACCCAGTTAGCCTCTTGAAGACTTAACCTGCCAATTGAACATACTCCTTTCTCCTCTACTACCTCTCTTTTTGTTCAGCGTTCACCCCCCGCACATGCCAAGAGTCACTCCTAAGGGCAAGGAGTGACTGTTGATTTGCCTAATTGTTGTCCCTCCACTGCCAACAACAGATTTAAGAGCAGAAGTACGCGATGTAACTGATGGTGCTTTTGCACTCATAAACTGACAGCCCTGGAATCACTTATGTCTGAACCTTTGGGTATAGGAAATGCTCTCAGCTGCAGGAAACGCTATGATTGATTCATAGGCAACAACCTTATGAGGAATAAAACATTGTTTTCTTTCAAGTTCGTTTCTAGGGACTGCTGCGTTACCGTGTACTACTCAGTACTTATCCCGGCAACCCGAACAGAGTATATGAGTCTCAGAGACAGTCAGGTGTGGGCATATGATCACAGTACCTTGTACAGCGCCTCTAAAAAGCAGATATCCAATAAACATTTATGGGTGCATGCTCCCCCTATCCAGTGAGAGCACTGGAACAGAAGCCAAGAATTCAATGGTGAAAAACCAAAATCAACCCTCATCTCCAAAAGGCTGCAAGCAGAACAGTGGTTCTCTCCTTTCGGAGATAGGAACCACCTGGGGATGGATTCCCTAGCCCCATCCACGCTTAGTTTTAACAAGCACCCGAGGTCACTCATTTAACAAATACCCAGGTGGATCTGTGACCCACATTCTTAGAAATACTTTTTTCCTCTGCCCCAACAACCTTTTTGTTTTCACTCAACACAACCACTCACAATCCTCCTCCTACATTTTTGTCCAGAGGCCGTGACAGTCACACGCTGCCCCAACAGAATGGTCAGAAGACAGCCAAGTGCCAAGAATTGCCTTGTCGACTTTGTTTTCAAAACAAAACACGAATACAAAAGCCGCCATCCGTGTTTGCTATGCCCCACTGTTTACACCCAAAATCCAATCCAATCTCCTTCACAGACTTGTAGCCGCCTCTTCTCCAACTTTCGCCAAGCAAGTATTTCAGGGAGCGGCAAACATCCTCAGGATCTCAGGGCACACACCCTAGATGCAAACTCAGTTGCCTAGTGTTGCTCTGACTCCTATCCAACCAACACTCAAAGATTCGCACCGCGCGTCACGCACCCAGCACGTTCCAGTGTAAACGCTGCTCGGGTCCCAAGTGCATCTCCAAACCCCTCCTTTAGGGCGCCACCTCCCCAGTCAGCCCCGTTGCGCAGTGGCGAACAGTCCGTAGAGCCCTCAGGCTTACCTGTAGCATGTGGTGAGCTCGCCTGTAGGTTTCAGACACGGGTATTTAGTCGTCGCGATTTTACTCTCTGAGCAGATTTCTCTACGAAAAAGTGCAGAGGAAACGTTTGATTCTCAGCGAGAGAGCGGAGGCGGGCAGTGCGCGCTGGGGAGTCCCTGGCGCGTGGGGGATCGCCGGGCTCCGCGTCCCGGCGCGCTGGGCAGGGGCTGGTCCCCAAACGCGTACGCGGAGCAGACTCCGGGCACAGGGACGAGCCAGGCGAGGGTCACGACGGAGCGAACCAGCTCCAGGAGAAAGGAAGCGGGGTTCACGAGCTGTGCCCGCCGGTGTGATACCTGGGGGGAGGCAGGAACGCTAGGCGGAGGGCATCCCAAACGCGACCCACGGATGGCAGGGCGCATAGGCTGATACCCGGGAGCTAAGGGAAGTGTAGCCCAGGACAGCTGAGCACTCTCCTTACGGCCAGAGGAGTGGGGGCGTGGGGATCGCTGCGGGAGTGGGCGCCGAGGAGGACCGCGGCACCCTGGCAAGCCGGACGCGCATCCAGCAGGAGCTCGCCCTCCGCTGGGGCTTGCAGCGTTACCTGTCGCCGTCCTCCGGCTCCTCTCTGTAGGTCCACGTGTGTCCCAGCGCCAGGAGCAGCAGTAGCGGACCCAGGCTCCTGCCCAGCTGGCCCCTGGCAGCTCCTCCCCGGCTCGGAGGCGGCGGCACCATCAGGGAAGCTCCCGGCTTCTTCCCAGAGCCGAGCTCTGTCCCGGCCCCGCGTCCTGCTCCTCCGCGGCCGCCGCCTTCCCTCTTCCCGGCAGGGGGCGCCGGAGAGCAGGGGCGTTTGCACCACCTGCACGGGGAGCAGAGGTCCGGAATATTATGTGGCTGGGGAGAAAATAAGGCTAGGAGTTGGGGTGCCAGCAGAGAGGCAGGTAAAGGGGGTACCTGCGGTGTCCGGCCGGCACGAGGGCCCTGAGGTCCAAGTTGTCTCGTCGGGACGTTCACGCCGGATTGACAGACTTGCCGGACTCGGCTTGGGGCTGCGTCCTCGACTCTTCCCTCTCCCTCCTCTGGGAGAACCGCGCAGGGTGGGGAAAGCGGGCGGTTGTTTGCATTTTGCACCAGGGTCGAACGACCGGGAGGAGGAGGAGCTGATTCTCCACCGGGGAGAAGAGGGAGGGGGAGGAGAGGGGTTAATAAGCTTCCTTCCTGTTGTCCATGGGTGTCTAAAGCCCAGGGTCAGGCCAGTGTCGCCTTTCCTCCTTGAAGACCTACCCTGCGCTTTTCAACTATCTTAGTCTTCTTTTCTTTTAGATTATGTGAGGAAGGGGGAGTTGAAAGGCAAACGGGCCTCTCAAATTGTTCAAACCTGAAATAGCGGTATTTATACAGTATAATCACTCTTCCTTAAAACCTTTAGAAGAAATTTCTCTGGTTGTTTCATTGGTCAATAAACTATGCTCTGTCTTCTTCATAACTCGAGTTCGGAACAAGTAAGGAGGTCTTCCTGGGAGCCTTACATCTCCTTCCCCTCAGCGGCGTTAATATTGTTTCCATGCCGAGCACATCACAGCTGGAAACGCTCCCGCCCCCATCAAATGAGACGCGTGGGGGCAAATGAATTACAGGTGCTGCTACCTGCTAGCGTATGCAGCCGCGTTTATAGGTAACAAGAAAACGGAGGAGGGGGGCCCTAAACTGGCTTCCTTGACGGTGACCTTAGTTGTAATTCGCGTGTCAGCAACTTAACACTTTGTTGCTCTTTAGGAGTTTTCTCAGCCCTTTCAAGAGAAACTGGGGACGTGGATGTGGCCCAGAAATAAGTTGGAAAAGGAAAAGTTCTAATGCCTAAGCTCTAAAATATGCATGGTTCTGCATCTCATAGGACAACGAGGTGAAAAGGTGGCTTGTTGACAAGTGACCGGTGTGTAAGTTGGTTAGGTAAGCACGTGTTTTGATAAACAGAATATCCTGGTCAACTGAGAATTACCACACATACCACATACACATTTATTTTTATTTTTATTTTTATTTTGAGATGGAGTCTCGCTCTGCCACCCAGGCAGGAGTGCAGTGTCTCAATCTTGGCTCACTGCCCCTCTGCCTCCCGGGTTCAAGAGATTCTCCTCCCTCAGCCTCCCAAGTAGCAGGGATTACAGACGCATGCTACCACAGCCGGCTCATTTTTGTATTTTCAGTAGAGACAGGGTTTCACCATGTTGGCCAGGGTGGTCTTAAACTCCTGGCCTCAAGTGATCTGCCCAACTCAGCCTCCCAAAGTGCTGGGATTACAGGCATGAGCCATAGCAGCCAGCCCACATTGATATATTTGATAGCAATGACATTCTCATTCTTCTGTAGAATGCTATGTCTTTTCCTAAGATTTTTAATGTTCCAGATTTTATTTGGTTCCCACAATATCCCTTCAATCTAAGCATTTGATTTCTTAGTTCGGTGAGGTGCGTTTTTGTTGGTTTATTTTACAAAACTTACATATTCGGAAGACCACCCACTTGATTTTAAAATATGACACTGCTACTTAACACAAATAAGTTAATTTTTATTTGATAATTCAGAAGACATTTCAGAATGTTGCAAAACTGGAGAGTGATCATCATGAGGTCAGAAAAAAAAAAACTTACCATGAGGTCAGAAAAAACTGGATTCAAATTCAGGCTGTTTGGTTTCCTAGAGGAGTGATCTGAAGCAAGTTACTTAACCTTCTGACACTCCGTTTTCTCATCTGTAAAATGGGGAAATATCTCTCATCAATTTTTATGAGTATTAAATGAAATAATAACTACATTACTATATAAATCTATAGCATTTTGTTTATCATGCCTGGCATATATTGAGTGCCCAGTAAACATTATTACTTGTAACATAATTATTGTATTGCACACAACTTTAAGTTTTTGCCTTCTAGCTTTCTAGCTTTCCACTTCCTAGATATATAGGAATCCGTTTGATAACAGTTGTTTGGGTTCCTAAAGAGAGACCTCACTAAGCACATGAGAAAGCCCTTCTGGGGTTTATGATAATTGTATCTCTTCAGATTGTGACCAAAAACTGTTTGATTTCCATCTTGGGAGGGAGACGCCATCTTGTAGGAGATTCCATTTTTAATTCCTTACCAATTACTGTATTTTGACAACTTCCTGTCTTTTTTCTCATCTTTACTCATTTTATTCTTCTACTGTTGCATTGTGGATGTTAGTTCTACAGTAATAGAGCATGGTGTAGAAGATTAATTATCAGTTTCATTAAGCAGTTACTAGGCTACAAGTGTAGACCTGCAGCATTTCAGGGAAAGTGATTCAGGCTGCAAAATAGCAGCAAAACCATTATACACAGCTGTGTGGCAGAAGATTGGCATCAGAGCCGACTTTGCCGCCTTTTTATCTTCAGCTCCTGGTGCTGAACGCCTATGAGAATGAGGGGTTAGAGAAGGTGCTGGGGCCCAGCAGACAGCTCAGGTTTGCACAGGGAGGAAATCCCAACGGTGGGTGGTCAGAGCATTTCATACATTTCTGCAAGGGGTGAGCTGGAGCTGAAACCTTCTGAAAACACTTTGTCTAGAGGCCTGTAATTTCAACCTACTGGCAGCTACTGACAGCATGGGGTGCATGGAGGGGTTGCTGGTCCGGGGAGCACTGCCAAGCTGGAAAGAGCTATGGATGGCCATATATGGATACCTGCCCCCGAGAAACTAAATACTCCTGTAGAAGACAAAACCTGCACTGCCCAGGATGCGGGCTGCATGGGAGATGTCAGTGCTGGGGCTGACTGTGGTGGGAGCCTTAAGGGTGCTGAGTTTTCTTTCCTCCCTTCTAAACCATGCGCAAGCCCAGGCCTGCCCTGTCCCCTCACCTATGAAACACTGGCCTGAGAGAACTTTCCATCCACCTCTTTCGTAGGAGTGTTACAAAGATTAATGATAGGGCCCTAAATGGTCCTTGAGGGAGGCTGTGTGTGATTATGTGATTATTTCTTTTCAGCATACCACTTCTCTGCAAAGTTTTTCATAAAGATCTGTCAGTTTCCCTGAAACAAACCAGAGAGTGGATAGTTACACAATTTACTGTGTCCTGTGACGTGGGGCTGTGTCTGGGGCTTTCTAGTGCATACTATGTTATAGGTTAGAGTCCCTGGTAGACCAGGTATTGTTAAGTAGTACTGCTGCATGTTGCCTGGGGGTGGGGTGACTGGCTGGAGAATAGAGAGAGGACTGCGTACAAAAGTAAAGTGAAAGGAAAAAAGAAAAGTAAACACCAGGCCACAGGGCAGAGAATATGCTTCTAAATAAAACCAATGGTCTCTTCTCAGTTTTAAGGGACTCCAACATCTTATTTGGAGAAAATCGGGATGTAAAGAACAGACCACCACCAATTGGGACAATTCATTTCACTATTTAAAGATTTTCCTATAAAAAAGATTTGTGGTGGTTGACAAAAACTATTTTATCGTGTGTGTGTGTGTGTGTGTGTACATACGTACACAAAGTGTATGTAGTATTGGGCAAAATTAGATAAATTAAGGCAAAGGAAAAATCAGGATCAAATAATAAAATAAAGCTGATGTTATGTTAATTGGCAGGGCTATATAAGCAGAAAGTCCTGGGCCACGTTTCAAGCAGATCACAAGTCAGTTCTCAAATTCTCAGAAGTCAATTCAGGATAATTACATGATCAGTCATGAGATTCAAGGTAACCATAAAAGAAAAGTCTATACATTGCTTAGAAAAAAATGACAGATTATTCCCCCAGTCTCCCTGAAATATAGCAACAGTCACCTAACTGTAAGGTAAGGTGAAACAAGGCTCAACAAGTGTGGGTAAAGTTCATATTGTACTGTGAGTGATAGACATATGATAAGATATCCCTAAAATAAACAGATTGCCCTGATATCTTTCCTTCAGTTTCAGTTTTGATTGACGTATATAGCCAGGTCTGCTTAGAGAATTAGGGTTACATCTTGGAAGGTGTGAAAGTGTGCCAATCTCCAAACCATTGTGGGGGACTATTTGAGGCAAGGAGAATAAAAAGTTTTTAAAATAGTAAATGGATGTTAAAGCCCTGGTTTTGGGGTGTGTACATTACATTTGCGCTAAGCCTGTCTTAACTTGCGCAAATTCTGAAAGTTGATTGAAGCTGTTGGTCTCTGGAATATTCTCCCAAGACAGGAAGAAATGTCTGATTCCCGTGTCCATAATAGAATCACACCATTTTTGCCCAATTTTGAAATAAAAGCGATTTTCAAAGATTAGTTAGCTTTATATGTGGGTAGGCCACTCAAAAAATGTACAAATAGAAAAAAGAGAAACTTCATGCTACATGATTATCTCCAAAAATATCAAGAAAAATTATTCATGTAATTTAGATGTCTTATTTGGTCTCGAAAGTTCTACCACACAGGGGCCCAGTCTAGGTTTTCCCCCAAAGCAGTATCTGTTGAGGCAATATGAGTTGGCAGTCTCCTTGACCAATCAAGAGCTATAGGATCAAACCTGGGATTTGGGGTGGACAAGTGTGTTCTAACACCACTCAATTCTGCAGCTCCCTTTGCAACAAATAGAAATGGCAGGAGCTGCAGCTGGTCTGACCCATCTCTTGTCCCCATGAGCATGAACAAGGAATGACAAGGGGCCAGCAGCAGATGTCGGGCCACTGGCCCATGCTGTGAAGTCCCTGTTCTAGAAAATGGATTTGAATCACCCAAGGACTTACGAGCTGACTCCTTTGAGTGTCTGTCATTCCAATGCCAACAACATTTCTTTTATTTTTGGAGAAC